TCCTTCCATTCGATGGAACGCTGCTTAAGAAAACTTAACACTATTTCCAAGTTTAGAACTTGGAAGATCTAGAATGCCTTGTGTGCATCGATTCTTATTAATTTAAGAATTTAAAGCTTAAGATCCGGGGAATTGGGATTAATTACAACTCGAAACGTGAGATTTAGCATTTAGGGATTGGGGAAAGGACCTATTGCATACCGACTGTCAACTGTTTGGAATGGAGATCGAATCCGTCATAGGCACGGATGGAGGGAGCCATTTGCGCGAAGAGTCGGCCAATCGTTTATATACACAATTGTAGCATAAAATAAGCCGATTACTCGCATCCCCACCATTCTCGGCCACCTTTTTTACGATACAGCGAAACGTAAACGACCCCCCCAAATAAGACACGCTCTCTCACGCGCACGCGCATACATACTCTTTCTCTCACTCACTCTTTCTCTTTCTCTCTTTTCCTCTCTCTCTCTCTCCCTCTCTCTCTCTCTCCCTAACTATAATAATTCGCGTCTTCTCCGGATGGCCGACTTCTATATCCTTCAATTCTCGTACTTGAGATGTACCACGTGAACTTTCTGGCCCGTGTGCCTCGATCTTATGTGGGACATTACGTTGGACGTTTGTTTGCTACGGAACTCGCAGTAAGGGCACTGGAATCTTGGCGCTTGGCCGCACTCGTACTTGTGGTGCCTGGTCATGTTCCCCTTGACGGTGAAGCAACGGCCGCATTTCGGGCAGGGGAACGGCTTTCTGAAGCAATCCGCGAAATTACCTTTCGCGTACGTGCTCCTTTGCCTACCAGCTTGCGCGTGATAATTAGGCAGGGGCGTCACGTAACCGCCACCGAAATCTGGCTGGCCCGTCGTCGTCGTCGTCGTCGTCGCTGCCGCCGCCGCCGCCGCCGCCGCCTCCCTGTTACCGCCTCCTTCCGAGTTCTCGAACGCCTTGCAAGATTGTAAAACGAAGTTTAGATCCAACTGTGGGGCCGCGGCATAGAAACCTGAAACTTCAAGATCGGCCGGTTAATCGAGTTTCGGGGGAGGAGAGGATTGCATATTGGGGCATATTGATGCTTTTGATTCATTTCGATTTATAAAGAGATTTTGGTCGTTTGGTGCTTTGGCGGGACAAGATAAAAGGATTTCGTAAAAGGATTTCGTGGGAGAGAAAGAGAGAGAAAGAGATAAAGAGAAAGAGAAATAGATAAAGATAGAAAGAGAGAGAGAGAGAGAGAGAGAAATCGATCGCCGTCG